CGCTCTTGGCATATTCTGTTAAGCCACTTCATCTTTGTCTTCTCTTGTATCCATATGTTTCTTTTTTAGACGCTCCGAAGAAAAAAAAACACGTATCTCATTGTTCTCAAGTTGTAAACAAATAAATATTGCACAAATGATACAAGTACTGACACCTGAAAATGATGTGATGTGGTGGGTAAGCGAGTTCTAATTGAGGTTTAGCAACGTACTTCTGAGAAGGTATGAGGCGCAAGTGATCAGATAGGGCGGGCAGAGAAGCAGTTAGCGAGTAATTTGACCCAGTGATTGCTATAACAGACTAATAAAAGCTTGGTGTTTGCTAGGTAAGAATGCGCAGTATTGATATGTTAAGCACAAATAGCAGTGCACTAGGTTTACCAATGCGATCATGCTTTTTTACGCGAATTTTGAAGCAGTCGGGTCGTTAACAGTATGAATGGTTGTTGCTTCGAGGGACTTCCATATGCACGAGTGAAAGTTCAGTCTGGGGCGGCATGTAGAAAGCTGAAATTTTATGAGAATACGAGCACATCTTGTTCAGAATTAAAAGCGTAATTCCAGTTGTCGTAAACGGTTGTGCTCGCATAAGAACACGATAAGCGTGAGGTTACAGAACTACTTGCATTCCTCACCCCCCGTAACCATATATGCTAGAAAGCTGAAATTTCACGAAGCACAGCACTGGAGCAATATTGTCCTAGGGGACGCTTCTTTCTCCTTGTGTTCGTGAAAAGATCAACAGAAACATTTGCAACATAAGTTTACACAGCAAGCTGTAAAGCAACGGCCATTCATACTGTCAACGATCTCGCAAAAAACACTGGTCTCCTTCGAAGCCCTTTACTGTGCGCCTTTAATTATTCTAATGTACTTAAAATTCCTCCAGAGCCTGCCAATGCCAAATGGAATTGTGGAACTTTATACGTATGCGAAATTTTTGTACTGAAAATTTGTTGTTTCATCGTTGCGTTTCTTCTTGCAATTGACGTAGCTGGCAACTTAACAGTTCTCGTGTGCGGTAACAGGAAGATGAAGAGCAGAGACCTGATCCTATGCGTTTACCATCCATCTGTGCTAAATTATATTATGCGTTGTAGTTCCTAATAATGCTTGTCAGATTATATTTCAGAATGTGGCTGTTCCACTTCCCCGGTTTCGAGAAATCCATATATTGTCTATCAAATAAGCTAAAAAATTTGAAACAAATTTTTTTGTTCATGAACATCTCGCTGTTTTGGCGCATTTGCTCCTCGAGAGTACGTTTTTTCCTGGAATTTGATCTCTTGTACTGCTTTTTTCCCTCAACTGGCTTCGTTTCCGTTGAAGCTTCTTCACAAGCATAACTGAGGCCAGCTTGGCCTGTTCAACACGTCTTTTCAATCCCGCACAGAAATATTATATTGCATGAGATAGATAAAAATGCTGATTTGTCAAAAAACGGAGTTTTTGCAAAAAATGTTTGGCCTATTGTCCCAACATTCCGCTCCTATTAATCCTC